TTTTGGCCTAATCCTATTTTAGGTAAAGAAAGGATGTATTTTAAAGGGCCTTCCAAAGGTCAAGATTACTTCTGCCTAGAAAGAACTTCAGCCCACCCTCTATTGTGACCACAGAGGTAAAGCATTGTAATTAATAGTAAGTGATCATAGCAAAGGGGAGCGGTCAGTCCGGGGACTTCCTGAAAGATTTTATCGTACACTCAGGATGTATAGGAGAGCTATGCAATTCTTTTATAGTAGTAAATTGGGGAGTCTTTTTTTGACCGGAGTGGGGGGGGGGGGGTGCACAACAGTGGCCTTGCCAACGTGTTGATCCGACTAGAAGTGGAGTTCAAAGGTCAGGGGGCTCAGACAGATCCTGGGGCCTCGCTGGGTCGGACTCCTCCAGAGTGTGAGACATGCGTGCCTCCTTGGCTGGCTCCAGTTCCCGTCCTCCTGTCCAAGTTCTTGTGTCTTAGAGAAGCTGGGGGCTTGAGAAGGGCACCTTTAAAGCAATCAAATGCAAGTGAGAATATGGCTGTACAGTACGTAGAGAGCACCGTGGGGTCCGGTGTGGTTATGGCGTCGGTCTGCTGCGCCAGTTTTCAGGAGTTTACCCTCGGGACCACCAGAACCCTCTGGGAGTGCAGGTGTCTCATTTTCTGCATTCAGCTATAGCTGGGACTCGAAATGTCTCTGGGAGGCAGATCCCCTGCTCAGGACAATGAAGCAAAAGGATTGCAAGTTTTTGTCTTTTGTTTCCCTTTTGTTTGATTCTCATGTTTTTATGAGAACGGTGTATGTGTATTGATTCTTTAAAGGGTTTTGCCTAGCTGTTGAAATGCTGGCTTGACAATTTTAAGATTAAGAATGCTTGGGCCAGCAGGTGGCATGGTGATTAAGGTGCTGGATCTTATTTGGCTAACTCTGTGGTTCAAGTCCTGGCCTTGGTGACATGAAACACTCACTGGGGGCATGTGCGTGTGTGCCAAAATCCCAAGAGGAGAGTGGAGGAGATGTGATTGCAGCATGGCCATCCCCTGCGGGTGGCGATTTCTCACTTTCCCTCTCTCAGTATCTCTGGTGAGCACATGTGCCCTTAACCACATCCCAGCCACAGCCTAGGGAGGATCCTGGGGCGGGATGCAGTGCTGGCCTCTGGGCGCAGGCACTGACCTCCCGTCTCTGGGGAGTGTGAGATGAGGCCACATGTAACTGCCATGCTGCGTCACACGAGGGACTTGTCACGCCCACAGGGTGTGGAGATGTGCTCGACCAGGCCGGGAGTGCTGGGGGAGCACGGATGGTGCGCACGGTGGGCTGTACCTGTGCTGCTGCCGCTGAGGTCCCGGCCCTACCTGCGCTGCTTGTGGTGCAGACTCCGTGGCTCCCCCTGCTGGCCTTCTCCACATGCCCGTGAGAAAGCATTTCACCTGGGTGTTTCTTTCATAGATGCTGTTTAGCTACCATCAGAGAGAAAAAAAGTTATTTCTCAACAGATTATTTAAAAACGAGCTTTCAGCCTGTAGTAGCATGAGCTGGGCACTGCCGCTTGGCAGGCTGAGGCAGCGAGAGGCACCAGGTCCCATTCCCAGCCGACCCGGACCGGGCGGCATGGCACGTGCCTGTGGTCCCAGCCACGCGGGAGGCTGAGGCAGGACTGCTGCACAGCAGGACTGTCTGAAACACGCCTCCCCACATCAGGTCAGCCATGAATGGTGTAATTAACTGCTGAGAAGGTCACGGTCTCCTTAGGGGAACAGTGTGACAGTGACAGCAAGAAGGCTGTGTGATATTTCTGAGACTATATAAGCACTGAGTTCTTGGAAATCCCATTTTCTTTTTCTTTCTTTTTTCTTTAGAGAGATTTTTGCTATAGGACGAGTGTGTTCACCAGAGAGACAGAAAGTGAGAAATCGCCCCTCAGGGGAGTTGGCCATGCCCCAATCCCTTCTCCTCCATTCTCCTCTCAGGATTTCAGGAACACACACACACACACACAGGTGCCCTGCATGAGTTTTGTTTGTTTGTTTTTGGAGAGGTTTTTGCTATAGGGCATGTGCACTCACCAGAAAGACATAAGCAAGAAATCACCCCCCCCAAGGGGGGATGGTCATGCCACAATCCCTTCTCCTCCATTTTCCTCTCCGGATCTTGGGCATGCATGCACACATGCCCAGCGTGAGTTTAAGCCACTGGGTCTGGGACTCAAACTGCGGTCGACTACGTGGGAGTCCAGTGACGTAGCCATTATGCCATCTGCTGGTCCCATCTCTGCCTGAGTTTTAAGCCACTGGACCCAGGATTTGAACCATGGTCGACTATGTGGAAGTCCAGCAGCATAACTATTACACCATCTCCTGGTCCCAGAAATCCCATTTTATTTATTATTTATTTATTTATAAAGAATTATTTAATTTATTCATTTATTTTATGTTTGACCAGAAAGAGACACACACACACACTCACACTCACACACACACACACACACACACACACAGAAAGAGCAAGCCACCAGGTCCAGGACTCGAACTGTGTTTGGTCATGTGGGAGTG